TTAAATCAAGAGATATAATCGTACAAAAAGCACAATGGTGTCTAGTAAAAATGAACGTTCGAGGCCAAAGATAAATAATAATTCACAGTGCACTAATCATGGGGAAGAAAGATTAATGCATGAGAAATTAGAAATATTCACATTTTAATAAGATCACACATAATCACCAAAATCATCAAGTTTCTTTTTTTTTAAAGATTTTCATAAATGTTATCTTTCAAATGTTTGCTTCTAGCAAACTAGTCTGATATTAAAATTCACACAAAATTTTAAATGCTCGGACGATCAATGACCATCACAAACTCAAGCAAAATAAAATATTTAAAGCAAAAGCATCAAATTGATATATTATGACACTTTTTCATGATTGATGCTCTGTATGAACTTCTGCATATAATCATTTGTCTTTTGGTTAAATGTCACTTTCTTTGTAAAGCTAACATACACAATTAATGATCTATATAGGAAAACATTATATCAATACCACATGTCTATGACAGAGGAGATACATATCATATGATTTATATGATTTATATGATTTATATTCAATGGGTTCACGTAGGCAATAACTCTAGAACCAAAATGTGTTCAATTATGAGGAAGATCACAATTCAAGGACAGCAATCACTATGTGAAGGCAGTGAAGAAAAATGTTCTACCAGATCAATACAGAGAGTTAACTATGTATCAGTATCACTTTAGAAGGAAAAAAAACCCAAATAGGACTACTGCGAAGAATGAGTTAGATTGTGATACTGCAACAGACGAGTTGATAAAGTAAAAGTATGCAGTGCTGCAGCTCACTAGTACTTAATCAGTTAACATGTATGGAACCGATAGTCCATCTATTGAGAATCATAAAAAAGCTAGATTGCCCAGGTTTACATGATTACACTCAAAAGCCTAAGTTTTGTTGCAAGCAAATAACAGGTTAATATACTGTATGTGGTTAGGTTCTTTTGCTACCTCTTAACAATATAAGTAATCACTTAAAAGTCCAAATAACAGACAACACAGTGAAGCTGACTCCAATTGATTATAACAATATAGCAAAAGAGATAGGGAGAAAGTGATCATCTCATTTTATTCATCCACTTCCATTTCCATACATCGTACAATTTATAAATACATGATGGAATACAAAAGGACATGAAATTAATAATCCACATACAAAGTAATGTCCACATACATTTTGTCTTTTAGATGAATACAAAAGGACATGAAATTAATAATCCACATACAAAGTAATGTCCACATACATTTTGTCTTTTAGATATCAACAAAATATCTTTTAGATATCAACATACATTTTGTCTTTTAGATATCAACAAAATATCTTTTAGATATCAACAAAATGTCTTTTAGATTTCATCAGCATCCATTTTATTCTCAGCATCATAGAGGTAACCTCGTCATTTTATGTTTTTTTTTCACTTATAGTTATTTATGAGATATGATGTTATATTCTTTTCGTGAATATCGTTGCTAGGCCAAAGCTATTGGACTTTGTCTATATTCATCTGCAAGCTCAAAAGGATTTATTTTTTATTTTATTTCTTTGCTCATCCAACGCACGTCTAGTTACCTTTGAATATTTTTGGTTGATATGATCAACATATTATAATACATACCTCATTTCTTTATTTTTTACGTTATTGATCCATATTTTATTTTTTATTTTGAATTTATTCTTTCATATTTGAGATATTTAATTTTATCCTCCAAATAAAATAATATTCATAATTTTCTATTAATCAAAATATACCTTTAATACATTATCTAATGATATGATTACTTCCAATTATTCAAAATATTTCTATAATATAGTGCCCAATATTCAAGATCCATCTATATTTATAATATCTACCATATTAGGAAACATAGATTGGAATACATTTCATAAAATTTGAAAATATATGATAAGATTCCTTACATTATTTTTTTACATTTTAAAAAACTTTGCTAAATAATAGTAATATCTTACTAAATGTTTATCTTTATATATATATGCAAAAAATCTTATTAACTAATAGAGAAAAATCTTTTCAACTAATATATCTTAATTAATTATTAAAATAATGAAAAGTAATATCTCAATAAATCTTAATTTTTTGGCACGCGTACTTTTTAATCAGCTATTTATGTTTATAAGTGCAAGTCCTAACCATTAGTTTTTAATCATTAATTAAAATCACACAAATCTTTATTAGGGTAAGGTTTGAGTAAATTTAGGACCATATATTAGCATATGATATTCTTATGCAAATATGTGCCTTCTAAATTTTAGTTACCAAATTTCATAGATTATTTAAATTTAAAAAAATAGAGGGAAATGGTACGTTTGGTCATTTTTATTGTTTAATTAGAAATTTTATATAAGAGATCCTAAGGAGTTTAACAATTATTGTTGATGATTATGCAAGCATCCGTTATATAATTCTTTTTTATGTATTCTCTTGGGTAAACTGAAAAACTCATCTATTATGTTCTTAGCATAGAGGTAATTTTAAAATTTAATGTTTTTTATTTTTCACTTAGATTTATTTATGAGATCTGATATTATACTCTTTAATGTAACGTCATTTATTTACAACATTTGATATTAGACTATAATCTTACAATATTTTGATAACAAATTTGTGATTTTTTTCCCTCAAAGTTTATTTATCTTTTAGTTTTTTACCTATTTTAATTTTTTGATGCACTATTTGGTTTCTCGTGATAGGATGATGCAAGCACAAGTTGAAATTCTATGTTTTAATTCTCGAGGGCCAGATATCACTTGGAATCACAAGAACTTGTTGAACTTTCTATGATTTTCTTGTTTTTACTTAATTGGGTTTCATTCTTGATTTTACTTAATTAGGGTTTCATTATTGATTTTCTTCGATATTATTACTTTTTTGTATGAATTTAGTGAATTGCGAAAATTTAGTTGTGTCTTTTGTTGAGGATAATCGAAATATTATAGGTTTTTTTTCTAATCGGAACTACAACTTGATTCTATTTTTTCCCCCCTTTATTAGGTTTATCATTATTTTATTCTATTTTTTCTCTAATTATTTCATTGTGCTCTAGTTTGTTTATTTTGTCTTTTGAGGACTGATAAGAGGTGTTTTAGAATTACAGATTGAGTGCTCTTTTCTTGATTTGACCTGTAGGTAAGAATTTTCATTTTCTTTATTTGTTATTATTTTTCTTTTGAAGCTTTTATGCTAAAATAAAAATCTTGTATTTTAATTGAGTAAAGTTGTAGCACGGGAAATTCATGGGCATAATAAAGTGGATAAAATATTAAATATTTAAATTGTTCTTCAATTTGATAACTATTTAGGCATGATTTTATTATTTATTTTATTTTAAAAATCTATTTTTATAGTTTACTTAGATTAAGTCCTTTCCAATTTTGTTTGTAGTTAAAATAGAAGATTCTGACAAAGAAATTTTTCTCATCAATTTTAATTAATTAGGTTCATCCCTATTAATTTTTTATTTTCCTAAAAATTATTTTCAAATATTAATGAATATCTACCTAATGAGAATCTCCATTTATTCTATTTCTAACTGTTATTTTTCTATTTTTAGAATTGAGATTGTTTTGTAAGTATAGACCGGGACTCTTCTCTTGATTTGAATGCTAAAGAGGTAAGCATTTTACTTTTTCTTTATTTTTTACTGTTTTTCTTTTTTTCTTTTATGTTTAAGTTCTAATCTTACAACTTAATATAGTAAAATTGTAACACATCCTAACGGGAAATTGATGGGCATAATAAGATAAATGAAATAAAATATTTTATTAAAATTAATATTTTTTATTGTTTACAAAAATATGAAAGTTAACTTACTCTAATTAGTTATTAATATATATATATATATTATATATATATAATATATATAATATATATATATATATTAATATATATATATATATATATATATATATATATTATATATATATACTATATATATATATATATGGGAATGATGTTTAGGTTTAAGAACGTGTAGATCAAGTCAACGGAGCCAGCATCATAAAAAAACATTAGGGAATGATCGTGATTTTAGGTCGCGTCCTTAGGTGGCGAGCCTAGGGTGTCACCTTAGATTCACTTTCCCTATATTCCGACTTTGATGTGTTGGGTTTTAGAATATGTAGATCAAGTTCAACGGAGCGGATGCATCCATAATGTCGCTCAATTCATGTGATTTTAGAGACGTCATAGGAGGAAATCCCCTCCTATGACAAGGATACCCATTAATCTATCATATATATATATATATATATATATATATATATAATATATATATATATATATATATATATATATTTTATATATATATATATATATATATATATATATATATAAATAAACTAAATTAAGAATATGAAAAATAAAAGTGATTATATGATATGTATTAGATGAGGTATATAGGTCTTTATAATGGTCAAAGTGTGATATAGATATTAAATTATGGGAAAATGATCGTGCTTAGCAGGAACTAAAATGCTAGCGTAAAGAAAAGTGAAATAAGAGAAGGACACCTAGGGCATAGAAAGTGAAATAAATCAAATGAAAAATATAATACCATGGTTGGGTGTTTAGTTAAAGGGAATAGAGGAAAGTCATTTCTTAACCGCTGAATTCATATCATGATGGTCCAAGAATATTTCACCTCTATTACCCCTCAATTTAAAGGGATCAAATCGCATAGAGTGGAGGGTAATTGAGATCAACTTGGTCACCTTCCTTCCTTTCCATCTTGTTAGTTGATAATAATAATAATAATAATAATAATAAATATCCATACAAGATGAACTTTTCCATCTCCCTTTTCCCCTCCTTCATTCACCCCTTTAACGTTGTGCAAATAGTATTAGCCCAAGGATCTAAGTCTTGGGCCAACTGTTCACAGTGGAAGATCAATAGCAGCCCAAAAGGCCCATGTATTTAGTTCTTTAGTATTTTCGTTTGTTTGTTTATTACTTTTGGAGACTTAATACTCAGCAGAGTAAAGCGTCGAAAGTTTCTCCCTCTACCTCCGTCCTCTTCCTCCTCCTCCTCGTTCCCAATACGATCAGAGCTGAAGAAGAGTCTGAAAATGCAATCTTTTTCCATTTCTGACACAATCTCACCAGAAAAAGGTACCCTTTTTCAAATTTTCTTCTTTTGATCCTTCAATTACGTCAATTGTTTATCTAATTTTGATGTCTTTTAAGTTGGTGTAGATGAAGTTGGGTCTTGGGATCAAGTGGGCTTCAAGGTCAGTAATCATGTTGTTCTGTGCTAGAAACCCTGAATAAACCCTTTAAAAAAGGTTTGATCTTGCAATGGAACCATTGTTCAACTCATGGACAAACCAAGCAAGCAAGATGAAAAGATTAGATTTTGATAGAGATGGGTTTGATGGGTTAAACCCTCTTAAGAGGTCTAAAGAAAGTGAAGGGTCTTCTTCTAATGGGACTAAAAATTTGGTATCATTTTTTGATTTTGAGAAGTACAGATCCTCTGTCGTCCTCAGAAAGGATGAGATTTGGGCAATTAGGGATGATTATGGAATGCCTCGTCGATATGTGCTAGTTGAGAGAGATGGAGGTTTCAGCTCGGCTTCGGTTAGGTATCTGAAGTACAATAGAAAAGTTGCATATCAGAGGTATAAGAGTTGTGGGATTCTTCATTCATGTGGCATATTTGTGGTTGACACCGATCCTGAGCCTCTCGATCCCCCGTATTTCTCGCATAAGGTTGTTGGATGGGGAAACAAAAAAAGACCTGATAAATTTACGATATATCCGAAAAAGGGTGAGGTTTGGGCCATCACAAAATGCTCCAAGTCTGTGTTTGGATTTGCTAGTCCTAGTTTGCTCAAATATCAGATGGTAGAGGTTCTTGAAGACTATCACTCTGAGCATGGTGTGAAGGTTGTATCATTGGTTAAGGTTAAAGGAGGATATCGAAGCCTTTTTCACAGATATGCGTCTGAAGGAAGTAAGAGTTTTTTCTGCATTGGTGCACAAGGCTCTTCAGTAGATTGTTTCTCCCATCAAGTACCATATTTTCGGTTTTCTGGAGAGAAGTCAGTTGGTGATTTCTTGGAACTCGATCCTACTTCATTGCCACTTTGTGTTGATGACCCTGAAGGTAGTCTTGTGGATGAGATCAATGATAATTATCTTTTCCTGGCTCTACTTGATAAAAAGGTCAGTTACCGATCGGGTGAAGGTTTTGTTTGGGCTGCATATGATCATCAATGTAGAATCCCGGTCAAGTATGTTGCAGTTCGTTCTAAGAATTCTCATTCCAGGATTAAGCAAGTGATGCATGAACTTACTCCTTGTTCTATTTATGGAAATGAGAAGAAGTGGAAAGAATCTGAAGCTTGCGGAAATTTTATGATAAGACCCACAGAAACCGATAAACACTATATCCTCTCACATCGGGTTCGGTTTCCATATAAAGACTATTGCATGTTAGACAGTGAATATTGTAAAATATATCCAGTAGAAGGAGATGTTTGGGGAGTCTACAAAGCTCCAAATATAACAAGGTCTCAAAATTTCGAAGGAGCACTTGAGTATCAGATTGTGGTCATAGAGGGAAGAACGGAGATAGCTATAACGGTTGCATTATTGGTCAGAGTGGAGGGATTCAGAGGCTTGTTCAGAAAGAAGAGTGGCCATTCAAGTCAGATGCAGATTCCTATCAATGAATGCTGCCGGTTCTCACACAAGATACCATCATATAGATTTGATGGTCGTAGGGTAGAATTTCTGAAGGGAACTTTTGTATTGGATCCTTTACTAATTCCAAAAAAGGACGGGGAATGCTTTTCTTTTGATGATCCTTTTCTTCTGGAAAAATCAAAAGCCTGTCCATTCTGGTCAGCTATCTTATTTATCGTCGATAAACAGAGGAATGGTATTAGTCTAGATGGCCGAGATAATATCCATCAGCAGTCCAGAATTTGCAACATAAACTGGACAAAATATCCAGACGTCGTGGTTGATGAGGATGATGAGAAACCAAACATCGGAGAGATGTTACCAGCAGTAGTAAATGGAATTGAAGGTTTAAATCCCGAAGGAGTTGAACATAATGTTACGCAGAAATATTTGAACATTAAACTTCATGATTTTCAAGATCCTAAACTGAAACAGGAGTTTGAATTGGGTCAGATATGGGCTCTCCATAGCGAATTTGATGGACTACCTCATTCTTATGCTCGTATAAATAATTTTATTTCACGAGAAATGGTAGAGGTGACTTTACTAGAACCCCATCCTATGTCTGAAGAAGAGATGCAGTGGATTGGAAAAAGGTTTCCTGTGGCTTGTGGAACATTTAAAACATCTCAATACACTTGTATTAAAGACATAACACTCTTTTCACACAGAATCATATGTAATGAAGTGAAATCGAGAGAGATACCATTGTTTTGGTACAAAGTCGTATCTGGTGAAGGGAAAAACCTTTTCTATGAGGTTTTTCCGCAAAAAGGGGAGGTTTGGGCTATTTACAAGCATTGGAATCCTCGGTGGACGATCTCTGATATGAGAAATAATTGTCAATACAAGCTGGTAGAAATTGTGACTGATTTTACAGAAGAAGCAGGTGTAACTGTCGAAGCCTTAGTTAGAGTAGAGGGTCATGAATATATTTTCAGAAGGCAGCAACATGAAGATTTTGGGTTGTATAAGATATTTAAAAGAAAAGAATTGCTTAGGTTTTCACATTGTATTCCATCTGCGAAAATGATTGCACACAAAGAGTGTAGCAATTATGAAGGGCTGATTAAGATTAAGTTCAGTCATACTGGAATATAAATTATCAAGGGCAGAGGTAAAACAATTCAAGACCATTCAAGATATGTGCATCATTTTTCTCTTCTCTTATATGGAAGTTTTTTCTTGCGCCATTGCTAATGCATCACTGTAAGCATGATTACTAATACCGTAGTTGTGAAATATTTAAATCTGTAAATTTTGCATATCAGCGGGTGATCTATATATCATATGTTATGTTTCTTTTGAGTTGTTACAAGTAATATTTGAGGGCTATCCGTTAGAAAAAAGCATGTCTTATAACGCTATACATTTTCATTAATTGATTTCTTATCTGCTAACTTCTGATAATATCTTCATCTTCATTGTCTTCCTTATTAGAAACATCATGCTTTCTTTTTTATCTTTTACTTTTGTTATTTGTGCACATGCATGTTTGCTTCAAATGTGTTGAAAATCTGATTCTAATGTATTTTTGTTGGACTTCTCTCAGTGCATGTATTTCTTACTTTTCTGTTTGGTGGACTGAGGTAGATGGCACCATTTTGTGAAAGACTGGATTTATTACTTAGTTAATATGTTTATATTTAATAATTTACATATTAGAGGGACCGATCAATCATATCCTACTTCAACATTGAATTGCTTGCTAGTAATACTTCTAAGAAATTGCATTTCTGTCAGTTAATATGGGCTTCTGTCTCTACTAGATAAGAAAAAGTTCTTTCTTCTAAACTATCTCATCTATTTCTTTCTTAATGGAAAAATTCCGGTATACTGTTGACCTATAAAATCTATACGTGCTGATCAGAGTCATCAGACTTGTCTATGTTCCTCTTAGCTTCACTAATGAACACGATCGGTTCTGGTTTCTTCAAATGGAGTTTGTTAAATCATATTCTCTATTAGTTTGAAGATACTCCTTATTTCTTACTTAAATTTTCTGAATTATTGGAAATTTATATGTTTTACTCAAACTTTTGGTTTTACTCAAACTTTTGGTATCTCGTGTATATGTTCCACAGAGGGAAGACTCTTTAATCTTCCAACTCTAGAAGATCTCTTGGTTACTATACATATCTTGTAAAATATCCCTACGAGTTCTTTCTCTCCATTAAAATTTATAGTCTTGGTTGTTAATATTGGCTTCCCATTTCTGATTTGTAACAAATTAAGGAAACCAATTTTCTTTTCTTCTTGTTTCTAGCATACGGGTAAGTTTTGATCAACTGACATACCTTGTCTATTAATCTCTTCTGCCAAAAGAGCATTGCTTGTTATTTCTTTTTTGAGAGAGGAAGGGATTCTGGCATATTCAAAGATCATAAAGAGCTTCTTTGAACTTTTGCTTATTGTATCTCCAAACTCTGTTGCTGAAGGAAGTAAGAGATCCGGAATGTAATCCTTCATAAGTAAAAGAAGAAGGGTTAGAGATTTTGATGTCATCCCCATTTTTATGAAATTTTCAAAGTAGATTTGGATCTAAATTGCATGGTCTCTTTGATGAATGCTTCCGATACCAGTTCAGTATCATTTATTTGGTGCTGCTATTTCGCAGGTCTGAATTCTTATGCAGTTATCACTTGTTCATGTGTAAGTTTTGTCAGTGTATGTGACTAGTTTGTTGTTATTTATGTGTATTTTGGCTGCTAATGTTTTTTATGCCCTTGTGATATTTTAAGAATTCTTTTTGTAGCTCCATGACACGACTTTCTAGGAGTATCTGTCTCTTGAAAAACTTTCTATGATTATCTATATATGCAGATAACATCTTGCGTTCATTCTGAACTGTATTATTCATTTTGTGCATAATGTTGATGCTGAATTCATATTTCAAATGATGTTTTTGTATGAGTTTCCCTTCTTGTGTAGAGCTGATCTACCCTATTACTCTCATGTGACGAATATGAATGATGGACTCTGTGCAAGAGCACATATCTGTATGAATTTTAAGATTTTAGATTGTTACTCATTTGTTCTAGTCACAAAAGATCTTGGCACTTAAATATCAGGACATGATGATGGCTGACCAAACATTAATTCGTGCAAGATAAATGGTGATGATTTCTGCACACAAAGGTGGGCATCAGAATGACATTTGGAATGAATAGAAGAAGAATCAACAATAAAACATAGAAGAGCAGGCAAGTGGGTTCGTGAACAAGAGAAGTATGAGAGACATTAGAGAGCATAGATGCATGTAAATTTTGGTGGTGTCTGAAAATTGTTGGAAACTCTGTTGTTTGTGTCTGCTGCAGGCTCATTAACATGACCTATGGAGATATCCACGGATATCTTTTTCCCCCTGCTTGGGAGACCTCTAGTGAACGGAATGCTTACAGTGGACATTATTCTTCATAGCATCAGATCTTTAATTCCCCAGTCAATATCTGATCATCAAAATAGCAGCAAATAACTAAGTTTCTGTACTAGAAAATATCAATAAAATGTCAGTTTGAGATTCCTATTCATATGCTTTACTTAGTTTTGTTGACAAGTGTATGTTTCAGCGATTTTTTTTATTAATATTCCTTTTAAAAGTGCGTGATATGAAGATTTAGTACATTCCTGAATTAAAGTCGTTAAACTTTTATGGGATCTAATGATCATGTCGTCATGTTGGTGGCAATATTGTAAATAACTTTACTTATCATAATTAATTGGTTTTTATTTACCTCTGGCTAAATTTTGCTTTAGTTTCCCCTCTTTTATAGCCTAATTGAATCCTAACAAATTACTTAAAATTTGTACAAATTAATATCCACATATATTGTCTTCCTAAATTAATAAAACCATAATTTGATTTTTTTGTGCCTGTACTATTGGGGAATTTTAGTCTCCCCGCATACTACGATTTGCGCAACTTGGAAGCCAACCCACAATTAATAAGATATAAAATAACCACAATCAAGAAGAAAGAACACCGAGATTTACGTGGTTCAGTCGACCAACTTCGACCTACGTCAACGGGCAACAATACGAAAAATTCACTATGTATCAGGGAAAACTACATAATCAACTCTCATATTATCTCCAAAGCCCTCTCCTTACAATCTTTTGAACAGACAAAGACTGCGAAACTCTCTCCCAATAATGTAATTTTTTACACGGACAAAGACTACAAAGCCCTCTCCTCTCGAACAATATTCTTGAATCAGATTACTTCCTTTGCTAACCTTAGATTACAAGAATATTGACTCTCTCTCATCTGCTTGGTTTTTCCTCCAACAATAGAAGAATATATATAGGAAACCAAAATCCTATTTCTATTGTAACTTCCTAATTAGAATATGATTCAAACTCCTAATCATGATGAGACACAATCTCATAATCATGATTGATCTCTAACCCTATCTAATTCTCATGAAGTAATACAAAGAATCAAAGACATAATCCCAACAATCTTTATCTTGGATTTGATTCCCAAACTCCCTTGATATATATCATCGTCATCTTGAAACTTTATCTCTCCCGCTAGAGTCTTCTATTTCTTTTGCACTTCAAATCAGAACACTTGCACTCCCAACTCGATACCTTTATGACCCTCACTTTCATCTGCCTTGTTGCGACGCCCTCCACCTCTCTTGTGCATACCAAGAGATCTGCCGCCTACGATATTAAAAGCAATTCAACCATGCTTCTCCTCCCGAACTGAACTTGGCAGTAGCCTTCCACCACTTGCTTTCCTCGTACTCCACCTGCATCACTCATCTCGAATCATATTGGTGCACCTCTCCTACTCCACACAACGACCCAAATGCCTCCATCTCCTCTATCACTTAGCTTGGACCGAATATGAGCGTTCATTATCTACAAGTCCAATACCACCATCTTCATCTCCCTGTGTGTCACTCGGTCGTGCATGCTAGCAAGCTCCACATAATCTAACACAATTCTCTTCGAGTCTACAAACCAATCAACTCCTGCTCCCGCGGAAAATCTGAATAATTATATGTTGACAACTCTACTGCTAGGATCACATCTAATTCTCTATATTAGTCTCATTCGTCGCATACTCATTTGCCTTATCTGCCATCAGATCTGTCTCGTTACCACTATCAAAACTTATCAGCACTTTCTGATCAATCTGAGAAAAATCTGAAAAATCAAACTCTCCCATCGCGTCAAAGCACTCTAAAACCTTGGAATCGACTGCTAGATCGCCAAAATTCACCATCGATTCACCCATCTACACTCCAATCAATCTCAGCCATTGGATTGAACTAAACACCAAACTCCATGTAAAGCCATACACCGAATATTGGGAATGAAAAAATCTGGTTCCTTCTCTTATGTGTGAAGAATGATATTTTTCTCTATCACGTGTAGTCAAAAACACCAAACACTAAAATATTCCATACACAAGATCACCTCATCATTAAATCACGTGATTGTCTCCTCAGATTTTCACGAACAGAGCCAAACCAAAGCCATCTCGAGAATTCTTTCAAGCAACTCCGCCAACTCCTGCTCCTCTCACTGCCAATTCGTCTCCACGCAATCCCTCTATCGGTGACCGGTTACACCTCCTCGACACCGCGATTCACTACTGCAATCGCTTGCAGACTTCACCGTCTAACACCGCATCCCTCGGGCGCTCTTCTCCAGACGATTAGTCACTGGTAAATCCTCCTGCTAGCAATGGCCGTTCCTTCCCTTTTTATCTTCTTCATCTTGATTATTGTAACGCTGATCTTCAATCTTGCATGACATCGTCTTCTATCATGCGAACTCGCTCCCGGATCCATCATCATGGCTCTGATTTGGGGAATTTTAGTCTCCCCACCTACTACGATTTGCGCAACTTAGAACTCAACCCACAATTAATAAGATATAAAATAACCATAATCAAGAAGAAAGAACACCAAGATTTACGTGGTTCAGTCGACCAACTTTAACCTACGTCAACGGGCAACAATACGAGAAATCCACTATGTATCAGGGAGAACTATAAGAGGAACCACTCATTTCTCGTTTCTCAATCTCTCAACCTCATATACATAATCAACTCTCATATTATCTAAAAAGCCTTCTCCTTACAATCTTTTGAACGGACAAAGACTGTGAAACCCTCTCCCAATGATGTAATCTTTTGCACGAACAAAGACTATGAAACTCTCATCTCTCTCACAATATTCTTGAATCAGGTTATGTCCTCTGCTAACCCTAAATTACAAGAATATTGGCTCTATCTCATCTGCTTCGTTTTTCCTCCAACAATAGAAAAAAAAATATATAGAAAC